AAACCCCAAGGATGTAGAACTGAATATCTTAGAAACACTCTGATCTCAAGAAAAAAAATATATATATATATAGATTTTTGCGGTACGTGGGCCTCTCACTGTTGTGGCCTCTCCTGCCGCGGAGCACAGGCTCCAGACGCACAGGCCCAGCGGCCATGGCCCACGGGCCCAGCTGCTCCACGGCACGTGGGATCCTCCCGGACCAGGGCACGAACCCGTGTCCCCTGCATCGGCAGGTGGACTCCCAACCACTGCGCTACCACGGAAGCCCTCAAGAAAATATTTTGTGCTAGAAAAACAAAGTCTTAAGCTTTGATATAATGTTTAGAAGGCATATAGTCTCTGAATATAGAAAGTGGTACTTATTTATGTAAATTGATCATAATAGCAAGACATAAAAAGAAAGAACACTTGCAATATACTTAAAAAGTGGTAAAATAATACATTCTCAGTTCAAAGATCTAGTTTCCTTTTCTAGTTCTTCTGGAATTGTCAATCCCTAAAAAACATAATAAAATTCAATCTACCATCCAACTATGAAGAAATCTGTCCCTTTTTGACTACCTAATCTTTTCCTAGGGGAAAAACCTTGACAGTATGCACAATAACTTCCCCCCTTCCAATCTGGAAGGAAAAGACTTTTGAACCCACCATTTTTGAAGATTATACATGCAAAGTACTAGCCTTCCTCTGAAGAACATTCAGTGTTCTTCCATGCTCGCACGTGCAAGTGCATTCTTCAGTTAGCTATCTTCTGAGATAAAAATGGGCAGCAAAAGCGTATTTCATTTCAGTAACCTTGAGATATGTATAAAGTCTAAGAATACTGCATATACATTTTGGCAAGAAGCTATAACGAGTTTTAAATACCTAAAACCATATGCATTTTCAGGGGATTTCCTAAGAAGACCTTCTAAACTCAGTAGTCCTAGGTTATGGAATTTTTTTATACCTGCCTTATTCCTCAACAGTAAAATAAAAGTTTTATTGTTCTGGTTTGTCAAACTTGACCACTTTGGGATTAAGGGTACAATATTAACTATGTAACTGTGAACAAGTTTACATTTCTCAGAAAAACCTTAAGTACCCTTTCAATAAAACACACCAAACATCTATCCTCTTGTGTGGAATAACTATCACTGTCTTATTAGAAGGTGACATTTAAGTTTACTGTCAGCCATCATCTGACCTATTTGTATTCAGATGTATTCTAACAAGATTTCAAGAAGAGCAACCACAGATACCTGGCAGAACACTAAAAAGCCAAAGCATTTGATTCTTATTTCCAGTATAAAATGGTGTCAATTGTGTACATTACACTGTGCTTAGAAAGTTATTCACAACACATGGCTCTCTTTGGTAGCATATTCTGTAGAAAGAACTGCTTCACGATGACAGTTTGTGGGAGAAAATGAGTCTCTCCTTAAACTCACTTATTTTTCTTCACTAATAGTTCTGGTTTCTCTTTTAAAATAGCCAAAGGTTTCAACCAGTTGAGTTGCTGCCACCTTCGTATTAAACTTTAATAAGCTAAGCTTTTTAAGCCACATAAAAATTTCATCAAGTGCTTCTCAACCTTAGGAAAAACGGAAGGAGGAACAAAGGTCAGAATGCCACTCTGCTACAGCAGCGTCTGGAGAAGAATGCTTAGGAAGTCTGCGCGCAGTCAGCCGCAAAACCAGTTCCCGTTTGTGGCCTGCGCCAGATGGTGACTATGCTGAGTCCTTCATCACACACAGGCCCCATGGTGGGTGCTAATTAAAGCAGTACCGTCAAAGAGCAGGCTCCTGGGACAAACCATTTGCTTTTTTCAAAAGTCCTTGAGATGCACTACATTCAAACCAATATTTTAGGGTTTTCTTGTCAAGAACACCCTTTTAGAGCTACTCTTGATCATTTTACTTTCACTCTTTCATGATGGCAATATATTTAAAAAACACCTTTATTTTAAAAAGGAGTATAGCATGCTACTTAGTTATATGAAGTTAATAACAGAAGGAACAGATGAAAGAGTTGAAAGAGGTGACTTGTTGCTGGGAAACAAGAATTAGAAGGAGGAAAAGACTGGGCAAAGAATCAAGCTTTGTGGTTTAGACAAAGGTGCAATACTGGACAGACATAAGCAAAAAAAGGAACCTCAACCTAAACCTCACACTTTACACAAAAATTAATTCAAAATGGATCATGGACTTAAATGTAAAACTTTTTGAAAAAAATTAGAAAATCTTTGGTATCTAGGGGTAGTCAAAGAGTTTTTTTTTAGACTTGCCAGCAAAAGCACAATTTATAAAAGGAAAAACTGATAAATTAAGCTTCATCAAAATTAAAAATTTTGCTCTTCAAAAGACCCTGGGAGAAACTGGGAGAAAGTATTTGCAAACCACAGTTCTGACAAAAGGCCTGTATTTTGAATGTATGAAGAACTCTCAAAACTCAACAGTAAAAAACAAACAACCCAGTAGAAAATGGGTAAAAGACACGAATAAACATTTCACTGAAGAGGATATACAGGTGGCATTTAGCACATGAAAGATGTTCAACATCAGTAGTCATTGGAGAAATGCAAATTAAAATCACAAAAGAGATATTACTATACACCTATCAGAATGGCTAAAATGAAAAATAGTGACAACACCAAATGCTGTCAAGGATGCAGATGAACTGTATCAGGGATACATTTCTACTGGGAATGTAAAATAGTACAGCTGCTTGGGAAAAGAGTATGGCAGTTTCTTACAAAATTAAATATGTGCTTATCATAATAACTCAAAAAATTGCACTCTTGAATATTTATGCCAAGGAAATGAAAACTCATGTTCACACAAAAACCTGTATATGAATGTTCATAGTCACTTTATTTATAATAGCCAAAACTGGAAACAATTTTGTTAACCAAGTTATAGTACATCCAAGCCATAGAATACTACTCAGCAATAAAAAGGAATAAACTATTGACATATAACAATTTGGAAGGATCTCAAGGGAATTAGGTTAGATGAAGAAATCCAAACTCTAGAAGTTAAATACTATGTGATTCCATTTATATAGCATTCTTGAAGTGACAAAATTACAGAGTGGGGAACAGACTAGTGTAGTCAGGGGTTATGTAGGGGTGTAGGAGAGAGGTGGCTGTGGCTATAAAAGAATTTGCTCAAGAGATCCCTGTGATAATGGGTCTGTATCTTGACTTGGTCACCTGAAACTGCACAGAACTATACACACACCAGCACAAGTTTAACTGGAGAAATCTGAATAAGATCAGTGGATTTTATCAGTGTTGATATCCTGGTTGTGATATTTACTGTAGTTATGCAAGATTTTACCACTGGGAGAAAATGGGTGAAGGGTATTTGGGATCTCTCTGTATTATTTCTCATAAACGTATGTGAAATGACACCTATCTCAAAATAAAAAACTAACAAATGTAAAGGACTGGTATTCCTGACAAAAATGCATATAACCTGGATCTAATCATGAAGGAACATCAGACATCAGACAAGCTCAAATCCAAAACAACTGGCCTGTACTCTTCAATAATGTCAATGTCATGAAACAGATTAAAAGAGACGTGACAACTGAACACAACATACAATTTGACTGGATCAATCCAGGGTTTTCTTTGCTATAAAGGACATTATTAAGATAATTTCACAAAACTTAGAAAAGGTCTATAGATCAGATAATGATATTAATGTTAATTTCACTATTTTGATAATCATACACTGTGGTTATATAAGAGAATGTTCTTGCTTTTAGAAAGTACACAATGAAGTATTTAAGGGTAAAGGGGCATCTTATCTCAAACTTACTCTCAAATGGTTAAAAAGGAAATATGGTAAAATGTTAACAGTTGGAGAATTTGGGCAAGGAAATACTTTATATTACTCTTGCAACTTTCTGTAAGCCTGAAATTATAAATAATAAAAATTATCATGATAAAAATTTTAAAGATGTACAGGATGCTGCACAGAGCCTGGCACACAAATGTTCAATAAATTATAGTTTTCAGATATTTTATACATATTTTCAGATGCAGAAACAAGTTGAGAAGCTTAAAAAACTGTGCAAGAGGGACAAGGGCAAACTGGTGGTAAGGTTAGGATTTGAACTCCACACCAAAGTCTGTGCTCTTTTCACTAGAATGAGGAAGGATGAAAATTTCACACCCCTCCATGGGGACTTAGAGGTACTCTGAGGAGAGGATGGTGTTATATAAAAATTGTCTTCAAACCACTCTCCAAGCAATTTACTTCTTAGTGTCCTAGAAAAGCATAGGACTGGTAATGGGACCTAATACCTCAAACCTGGCTCCAGGGTAGATATTCTATATATAGCACATCAAACAAACTAAGTAATAAACTCACAGAAAACCATCTGCAAGCCCTTTACTACAGGGCAGTATATTGTCTTTTCTGTTTTTGTTCATTCATCTGAAATCCACTGCGCTGGTCAGTGGAATTTCTAGGATGACTATCTAGATATATCTCTTCTATTGGTCCTTCCCCACCTCATCACTGCCCCATGGCTAAGCTTAAATAGGACAGATAATTTATTTTTAATTTATTTTTTCTGAATAGATAATACATAGTTCAAAATTCACATAGGAAAAAAATTTCACATGGAACAAAAATATATATAGTGAAAAGTCTCCCTCCCCCACCCTTCCAACTCCCCTGCCACTGACAACAGATGTTACCAGCTTAAAAATGCAACTTTGTAATATTTCTTCAAATTACCAGAATTAGCTAGATCACACTATGATATTAAGCTAACCATTTACCTGGAATATTCCAAGTGATCACTGTAAATTTAATAATTTCTCCATTTAGGTATTTCAAATATCCTTAAAATACTTGTATAGATATGTTTTCAACATATTAAAATGATTGAGGGTTACCACTTTTTTTAATGAAAAAATATTCATATTATGTATGATTACAACAGATGTCTATGAATTATGGCCAGTAAGCATCAATCAATATAGAGTACTGGTAGCTCACCTGGTTCCTGTCCCGGGCATTTGTGTACCTGATCTTCTGAATGAAGTAGAATATAAGCCATGCTGAAGAAATAATCATCAAAACAATAAAGGATATTGACACGAAGACTAGAGAGCCACGGCTGAAGTTCTTTGGCGGCATTCGAGTTCCAACTGCTATTGTCATTTGTACAGAGATGTTTTTCTCCAGGTAACTCAAAATATCCTTACCCCTCAATTCTGTAATCATGACAGCAATAATATCTCCAGTGCCTGTAATGTAAAATAAATATATATACTCAAGTGACATTTAAAATTTATAGAACATCAAATATATAAAAATGCTACTTAGCAAAACTACTGTAATTTTTGCTAATGGCAAGGGTTTTCAGATTCAACTTTTCAAATGAAATGAAGTTGCAGTTGGGTATGCTGGCACCAAGTGGGAACAGAAACTTGTTGTGTACTACTTAAGACTTAAACGCACTTAAAGCATAAAATGATTGCAGTGTTAAGAACCATATTAACTTATCTCACAACTATATTTAAAAAACAGATTATTAAATCAGCCAAATGTAACAAAAGATGGTACACAGCATTGTATTATACACCAATAGAAATGTGATAAAATCATGGCAGGTTTTCACTGTAAAACTTTTTCCATCTTAAAATGTTCTTTCGAGAGTCCCAACTCCTTATAAAAAGGTGGAAAAGCATTTATAGTATAAAAATTGGTACTTTTTACATTAATTTTTCTTACAAATGTTTATGGAGCACCTATTGTGTGTAGAACTAGCACAAGGAATAGAAAGAAGCAGAAGTACAGGATATACAGTTTTATAATTTCACTGACTTAGGACACAAATCGAGTTCCAACAGCAAAATGCCAAATGGTGGTATCTTTGATCAATAACAGTTGAAACTAACTTTGATCCTATGTGTAGGTCAGACTGGAGGAAGGTTCCTTTTTCATTTACCCCAGAAATCTTGTGGAAATCAAACCCTTCCTGAGAAATGCCCAAACTTTAAAACTCTGGACTAGTCTGGCATCAAAATATTTGCTGCTTCTAACAGCTGTCCAGAGGTTCCGCTACAGCCACTATCTAAGTTACTTATAAGGATGTTTGTAAGTTGCTCTCCTAGTCGTCCAGTTCTTTCAATTACATAAGCAGTAATACAGTAAAGGCAAGTGACTCTCTCTCCTATGCACAGCATGAAATTTCTATCCCTTTCCTTCTCCAGAAAGGGAATAATTTACCACTTTCTTTTAAGCAAAAAGAGAAGCCTTTCTATCACCAATCCAGCTGTCAGTGATCATCCTTTCATAAGTGAAGCTGCCTGTGGCAACATGCAACTTTTACAATAGGCCTTCTTCAAAGAGCCCCGAGACTGTGGGGGTCAAAGGAAGGAGAACAGACATTTTATTTTGGGAAAGAGAAAATTATAACCATTTACTTAAATGTGAATAAAGTTTGTGCATATAAATGTAAACCACCAAAACAAAATCAAAACCCCCCAAACTTGCCCTTTCGAAGGCTTCAATGACTACTACTACTAAATATTTAGTTTATATGTTTCATTTATCATATTTAACTAAAAGGACTATCCTTGTACAATGTGCAGTCAAAAGACCATATACAACTGAAAAGAAATTTAATAATAAAAAGTTTTAAGAAAAGTTTAACCCAATGGAACATACACCTTTGTATAACCTTATTCAAAATTGTGCCAGTCATTTCATCAGAATTTATCAGCAGTTTATCAGAATACTGATTAAAAATCCAAAAACAGAAAGAAAACTGCAAAATTAAAGCAAGCAACAAAGTTAACTCTAATTATCTTTCTGAAGTAAGAGTTCTGATAAGTCAGAAAAAAATCATAAAACGATGCTAAACCATTTAAAATTTCCATTTAGAAACCTTAAGTGCTTTTAAAATGTTGTTCAACAGGCAATGATCTGCAGTATAAGATACCAGGTATGGCTATAAAGTAACTGAGACGGATCCCACAAACAACACATGACAATCAGTCTCATTGCTTTATAATCACACCAGGTACAAATGGTTTTAGAAATCAGTTCTGAGGCTCCCTCTTGAAGACTCAAGCTGGAAAAGGAGGTGGGAAAGCTACACAGGTAGCCAAGGGAACCAATCCATGTAATGTCATTCATTCAAACAACACTAAATGAGCACCACCTAATTTCAATTGGAAAGCTGTTTGGGAGAAGAAGCATTTAATTATTTCAACCATCCCTTCAACAGTATTTATTGAGCATATCCTATCATCAAGGCTCCTTAATGTTCACTTTGCAAAGAGAGTGGAAAATTATCTGCTGTGAAATAGTAGAAAAGATACATATTGGTCTCTGTCCCTGGTTCCTGGGACAAAGCTCCTAAAACCCTTGCAACTTCCTAAGTGACAGCACTAGGAGTATCTTTTGTTCTAATATTAGGTCTCTGACCTTGGTTCCTGACACAGAGCTCCTAAAAGCCTTGGAATTCCCTGGGTGATGGGAGTGTCTTTTGTTCTAATGGGGTGAATCTTGGCGGGCTCCTGGATAGCTGCAGGATGCGGGCAGGTCACCAGAGAGACCAAGCCATGAGGAGAAGCTTGGACCTTTCAGCCCCACTCCTCAATCCTCTGGGGAGGGAGAGGGACTACAGATGTGAAGCCTGCATAAAAATGCCAAAGTATGGAGGTCAGAGGGCGTCCACATTGGTGAACACATGGAGGTGGTGAGAGGATGGCATGCCAGAGAGCCCCTTCTCACACACCTTGCCCTATGTACGTTTTCACCTGTATTCTTTATTATATCCTTTATAATGAATCAGTAAATATAAGTTTTCCCCTGAGTTCTGTGAGCCATTCTAACAAATTTTTGGACTGGAGGACGGGGTTGTGGGAACCTCAACTTACTGCTAGTGGGTCAGAAGTACTGGTGACAACGTGGGACTTGCAACTGGCTTCTGAAGCGGTGGTGTGGGGGGTGGGATGTCTTGTGGGACTGAGCCCTTAACTTGTGGGATCTGATGCTAACCCCAGGCAGACAGTGTCAGAATCAAATTGAATTACAGGACACCCAGCTAGTGTTGCTGAAAATTGCTTGGTATGGGGAAAACCCCACAAACATTTGGTGACCAGAAGCGTCGGAAGTGAAGTTTTCCATGTGAGTAGTAAAAGAGACACACAAGAGTGCTTTTTCCTTTACACCTGCTCTTGATTACATGAAAACTGCATCTGCTCTCAAAGAGCAAAGGACAATTTTAAAGGGACTAGAGAGAGGAGCCAAACACAGGTAGTCTCATGATGCTACTACAGTGGAGGAGACTGGGAAGAGTGACAGGAAAGGAGACTAAAACACTGCTGGTCAAACAAAGTGAAAAATAATTACAGCAGATCATCAGAATACCAGCAAAGGCATTAGTCTCAACCATTTTAGGTCGTAAATCCCTTAGGGAATCTGATGGTAGGGCACCCCCTTCTAATTTCAGAAGAGGTTCACAGACTTCCTCATTCCCCACCCATAAAAGGTGATCTGGGCTCAAAGAACTTAATTTAAGGATTGGCTCAGACACTTCACTTTTAAAGACTGTGAAGCCTTGGCCCAGCTTCTGGGGTGGGGTGGGGTGGGGTGAGGATATTAATGCCAGAGAATATGTAAGCTCAGGATAAAATTAGGGTTAGATCAAGTAGTGACTGATAAAGAGTTAAGAACTAGTTAGACTGTAATGATGTGAACATTCAAGGAAAGATGACAAATATTTGGAACATTCATCACCACTCTCACATCTGAAGCCCTTGACAAACAATACTAATAAATCATGAATATGGCCTCAGAATCCCATGCATTTCAACATGCCCAGCAGCCAGGATTAATTTGCCAGAGATGCCGATTAAGTAAAAACCTAGTTGCGATACCTGATTTCACCTATTTTATTGAAAACTTTCTCCATTGTTATTCTTTAATGTGAATCTGTTTCCTCTGCTTGAGTATGGCTACTTTAATAAACAATTCTATTCTTCTTTTGAGAATTTTCAAGCCTACAGTATAATTTCAATACTATATGAACACTCATGCACTTTATATTAGATCTGTCAACTGGTAACACTTCACCTTTTCTGTGTGTATTTATTTTTGCTGAACCAATTGAGAATAAGTTGCAAACGTCATGACATTTCCTTCTTAAATACTTCAGTATTATCTCCTAAGAACAAGGACACAGTTCATTTATCATACTCAAGAAACTGAACTCTGATATGACGTTGTTCTGCAACATACTGTCCACATTCAAAATACTTGATTCTAATAATGACTCTGAGAACTGTTTAGGTTAGTTGAGTACCCAGTACCTAATCAGGATGTGGGTACTGTGCATAGTTGTCTCTTCTTGTTAGTCTCTTCTGATCTAAAACAGGTTCCTCAGTCCCTTTTGGTCATTCACGACATTAACTTTTTTGATGAGTCCAGGCAATATGTTTTAAAAATGTCCCTCAACCTGGATCTGTCTGATTGTTTCCTCATGATTAGATCTCCAAAGTAAACATTTTTGGTAGGAATGCTACACAGGTGACGTTATGTCCTTCTAGTATGCTACATCAGGAAGCATATGTCGGGTTTTACCTTTATTGATGAAGGTGAATTTTATCACTTGGCTAATAATAATCTTTCATTCAACGCTCTGAGCACCCACTAATGCCCACCTGAATCAGTTACTATAATAGTGTTTGCAAAATGGTGATTTTTCTAACACTATGATTTCTTCTACATTTTGTAAAGTGGTTCTGTACTCAGTATTTTTCTACTTATCTTTTTCTCCTACTAAATAAACAGAACTTCTGGGTTGGCATTTTTTCTGTAAAAAAGAGTCCCCCTCCCCGCAACACTTAGCACTTCTATTTTTTAATGGGAAAAAAGGTAAGTGGAAAAATATGGTAATGCTGCTATAATCCTGACTACAAAATCCATTTTCAGGGGCCAAAAAATGAACCTCAGAATTAACCTGCTTTGGGCTCTGAAGTCAGGATGTCTAAGTTCAAATTCCAGCATGATACTTAACCTCTCTGAACTTCAGTTTCTTCTTTCAAAAAATGATATTACCTGCAGGCTTCATGGCCGATGCTCAATAAATGCTACAGCTTACTGAGCTTATTCTACTTGTATTATTATTACTCATGGAAAGCAGAGGAAGGAATTCTTTGGAGGAAACCACAAAGCCCCCACCACAATATTTTGGAACTCCTATTCTAATTTCTCCCACCACCTTGGGAAACAC